AGTTGGTCTGTGTTCTGTCGGGCTGCCTGCGACGCGCTGATGAGATCCAAAAAGATCGAAATCGCGATCCGCGTCTGGCAGTTTCGACAGAATACAGACCACTTCGAATTATTTTNCTAGTCAGAAACATATTAGAGGCAGAAAGGAAGTTAGGAAGTATAGAGGTAGACCTAGATTAGATTACTGCTTGCAGATAGTTGAGAATATGAGTTGCTCTAGCTTTAGAGAAATGCGAAGATTAGCGCAGGATAGGAAATAGTGGAGGTGCGTGTCCAACCAGTCTTAGGACTGACGACCTTATGATGATGATGAGTTGAAAAACGGTCACGTACAGCTCTACGTATGCATATCTACGGTCCTACGTAGGTTCGTAGTGATGATTCAGATGACTATTTTCTCTAAAGGTCTGAATTCCTGAAATTGGCTAACTGTTTTGACGCCTAATTAAAGGAAGCAACTTTGGTCGACATGAAAAATTTTGGTATTTTGAAACTTTCAAGGAATTTACGAACATGTGGAAAAGTCAGGAGATAGTTTTATTTCTACGGGAATGTTTTTTAAACATCAAGTCTTGAGTGTCTTCCATTTGTTACTTCAGTCACAATATATAGTAGTAATGATCTCTAAAGATACTACTCTTTGGAATTGGTTTGTCATTTAATTAAAAGCAAGAACGTTTATGGACTTTTGAATAGCATGTAATGAGAGTCTTCCATAAATTAATTGAAAAACAATATATGCACAATAATGCTCTACATAAATCTATTGTCCTACGTAGGTTTAGAGTCATGATTTGCTTGGCTATCTCCTCTGCAGATCTGGTTTTCTGAAATTAGCTGACTATTATGAAAGGAAGACCTACATTAGATTACTATTTACAAATAGTTATGGATATGGGATGTTCCATATTTAGGGAAACACGAAGATTACCTCGGGATAGGATAGGAATGAGCGTATCCAATCAGTCTTAGGACTGACGACCCTATGATGATGATGATGATGATGATAATGAAAGGAAGGAATAGTGCCTTAAGTTTATCTTCGATTTCTAGGATGTTATCGTTAATCGCGCCAATCTTTTGACGAGTTGGAAGTGTTTGAGGCTTCTAGATAGGATGTGCTAGCGGCTGAGTCCATGCGGCTGACGAAGGAAAGTTAAAATATAAGTAGTGCACTCATGTATGATATTTATGAAGTAATCCAAATAAATCAGTAAAAACAATTATCTAGGAAAAAGGTTCGTAGGAGGAACCTTCTACTTGTAATTTCCTTAAAAAAAAAATATGTTACTAATACCTTTTTACTAAAACTTCCACATTAAATTAATAAAAAGTTAGTGATAGTACTCAGTAAAGAAATAATTTTATTTCTTAACTTCATGATTACAGAGAAAATAGTGCAAAATTATCCTCTAGGACTAGGATATCTCAGATTACGATCCAACACCCTTCTAGGAGAAAGATTAATTAAATCAATACAATTCAAGCATTTATTTATGTAGTACCTTCCGAACGAATATTTTATTATAGCAACTGCGGTAGAATCATGATCCCAAAAATGTAGGTCTACCATGCTTCGAACACGATATCTAATATATTGATGCAGAAAAAGCTTCCAATTTGTTTACATAAACCAAATAATTTTATGTTTCTATTTATTTTTTATTTTTAGAGCAGCGAATTAGATTCAGAAGCAGAATAATTATAATTATAACTAATATTATAAGTCATTAGTCGTATG